GAAGAGGGCTCCTTTAAGAGGAAGTCAACATCTAAGGTTTGAGATGAATACATAGTTGAGAAAATTATAGACATTCACCAAAAACAGAGCACTGATATCAATTAGAGAATGTGTGAGGCCTTTAGCAGACTGTGCTATTAAGAAAAAAAATTAGGAAAATATTTTTGCAAATTGTCCCATCAGAGCAATTTGAGTGAGAGAGAAATTAGAATTTTGAAGAGCTGTTCATTTTCACCAGTTACATGTAAAATCATTTTAATTGGACAATATAATAGTCTCAGATGTTAGAAATCATGTGTCCCTTGCAAAAGCCAAGTACCCACAAGAGTTTATTTTGATATTTAAAAAGCCTTTACAGTTTGGTTGACAGAGCCAAACCACATGTTATGTGGACCTAAAACTTATCTAGGTAAGAAAAGACTCAGAATATGGACTAAAGTAATGAGACTCTGGAACTACTATCCAGAATGAGACCATAAGCTGACAAAAGCCTTCCAAAGAATATCAACGGTCAATAACATTCGTGATGAAAAAGGAACCCTCATCCACTGCTGGTGGGATGTTGTGTGGTCCAACCCCTATGGAAAACAGTATGTAGAGTACTCAGGAAACTTACAATTGAGCTTCAATTTGACCCAATAATTCCACTTTTGTAAATCACAGCGCTCTAATAATTTTTTTTATTTAAAGATATTGGCAGGCAAGCCCTTGAGTTTATCACTATGCAGTCTCCATTCTTAACCTTACCTTGGACATTTCAAGTAAGAGTTAAGGGGGCTGCACCATCAACTGGGATTTTCATAGCTGGGTCCTACTGCTTAAAAACTGCAAATCGTCCATTTGATTTAGATTAAGATTTCAGTCTATGAAAGGAATTGTGTTGGGCTTCCTTGGAGTAATTGCTGCCATACCTTGGTACCCACTAATCTGCCATATTCCATCAGCTAGTAAGAGAAGAAAAACATACCCATAATAAACAATTAAAACTAGCTCAAGATATTATTGACTTTAAATGGTTGCACTCTGCGAATGTCATAGGAAATTGGATAAAGGGATCATTTGTTCATACATCAATGGGCATTTATGTTGTAGGCTTTATGTCTCTTCTGTTCCTTATAACTCAGAAGTGAAGATGTTAAACATCTTATTGGGAAATCTCCATGTATACACTAATAGGCATTTTAAACAGAGCATGAATCGGAGCAAATTTAAATCCTCTCACCAATTCTCCCACAAGGCAATTCAGTCTTCTGGTGGAGAAAACTCGCAGATACAAAAAATACACACAAAGAAAATGATGTATGCTCTAAGCTCCTCCCTGATTTATCTCACAACTTATATCCAACTTTGAAGCAAGCAGAAAGCAAGAAGAAAGTTCTCCACACCCAACCACTTCTCACGACCCCAACAACAGCCATCTAGGTCTTTGGCTGAGATCATTGCAATAGCTTCCTACTTCGTGATCACCCTGCTTCAGTTCTTTAAATGCTGTCGCTGGAAAGGCTGTTTCTCCTTGCTTAAGTGAATGAATTCAGAGTTAACATGGTGCTTATTCGATACAGTTCTAAATTCTTTGTGAGCATTAACTCTCTGCATTCTAAGAATAACCTTTCATGAAAGAAACTACTCTCAAGCAAAGGACAGGTGTTCGTCAAGTGTATGCTTCGGACGCGGGGAGGTGGGAGGGTAGTGGGTAGTTGGGACTGATATCCTGGCTCCAGTCTCTTCACTTAAGCCCATCACTATTGTGCCTTGCTGGTACCTGCCAAATCTAACCCTCTCTGTGGTCCATTACCTCCCTGACTCACTCTCTTCCTCCCCTAACTTGCTGGTCTCTATACAATTTCTTACACATTCCAAACTTCTTTCCCTAAAAGGCTTTTCATCCTGGCCGGTCCTTTGGTCCAATTCCCCCCAAAGACCACCCTGGCTTCCTTCATCACCTCCTCCCCTTGAGTCTTTCCTCAGATATTGCTTTTTCTGTGAAGAGGCCGCTGCATCCTGATTCAACATCCACAAAAATAGTCAGATCTTAATCTCAGCATCTCTCATCAATTTTACTTTATTACAGCCTGGTGACAGCTCAGCATAGGTGAATATACTAGTTTTCTATTACAGAGACAGGTAAGAAGCCCAGAGACCTGGGTAAGCAGTAAGCAGAAGGTCACACAGCAGATAAGGATAAAGTCAGAGTTCTTCCCACGAGTTTTGGGTTCTGAAGTCTCCTAGTCTGACACACACAAATAACATGCAAACACTGTGACTAAAGGCCTATAGGAAAGTGAGAGGGAGTAAGATCAGTTTGTTTGGAAGTTTGGCACCAGACTGGGATATTTAGTGTATCAAGATGAAGAAGGTCAGGGAGTCAGACTGTTGATTCATTTCCAGAGTTGTATTTCTCCAGAGCATCATCCAAGGTGTTCCTCCAACAGAAGCTGCCAAAGGTGTTTGCTACAAGTACAGATTTCTGGGTTCCACTCTAGATTTTCCCATATGGAGTCTTTGGGGTCAGGAGCTCAAGGATTGGCATAAAGAAAAACTGTAGTTATTTAGAAAGACTGAAATGTTCTAACTGCCATTTTAGAGGGTAGGAATGAGTTTCGGGGATTTAAGTTTGTAAAATAAGTCTCAGAACCCCAATAAAGCATTTCCATAACAACATGTGAAATATGCATATCTATTTACATTTGTAAAGCTCTGCAACTTACATGCTTTAGATGATAGAGTTGAAAACATAGTTATGGAAATGAGAATAGGCAGCATACTAATATTGTACTGAGTGATTTGAATCTCCTTATTTACACAATTTAAAATAGTATAGCATCAATCATTACAAAATGACTTTTGTTGATTTATCTTCTGTTGATTCCACTTGCTATTTTTTTAAGCTTTGTTGGATCAAGCAATACAAAATAAATTTGTTATATGTCTGCCAAGGGGGGGGCAGGCTGGGGGACAGCAGGGACCCTGGGGACACTGGTGGTGGAATTGGTATTGCAGCATTAGCACTGCACTGCACTGTCCTCCCATTGTTCATCGATTTGCTCGAGCGGGCCCTATAACATCTCCATTGTGAGACTTGTTGTTACTGTGTTTGGCATATTGAATACGCCAAGGGAGCTTGCCAGACTTTGTTGTGTGGGCAAAATACTCTTAGTACCTTTCCAGGCTCTCTAGAGAGGCGGAGGAACCGAACCTGGGTAGGTCAGGTCGGCCGCGTGCAAGGCAAACGCCCTACCTGGTGTGCTATCGCTCCAGCCCATTGCAACTTTACCTGTCTGAAACAATTTTGCCATGAACAGCTTTGTAAATCATAGTGTCTTAATAAAATAAAAACTAAAGAGAAAAAAAATGCTGCAACTTGTTCATTGGTAAATTCCAAGGACAGTGTTGGTTTATATTTTAGAACACTAACAAAAAAAAAACACTAACAATAAAACGTGATTGTGAAATGATGTAGGGAAAACTCTCAAAATGTACCCATCACTCTGTGTAAGCATATATTGAGTTTGGAGTGGTCCAGGTTTTTATCAGGTTTCTCATAAAAATTTAGTTTCATCATTATTTCCTTGTGTGTTTAAAGTGCAAAATAAAATAGCTTTTGGAATAACTGACGTAAGTGTGACTTGAGACACTGATATTTAGATGCTATGTGGTATAAATGAGATATTCAACCTTATGTAAATGCTCTTTCTGCATCAGTAAATTCAACATCCCTTGCTTTATGTCAATAAAGATACTGCATGAATTAAAATGATCATATAAAATATAAGGTAGAGTATTACAAATTTTTAAATAAAATCAGGGAAAATAACTGTGGAGTGATCAAGATGGTATAAACAATACACATAACTACAGAAAGCATTAGTGTTATTAACCAGAGAAACTTGGAAAAAGAGCATCTCAAATTCTCTTAGATGTAATTTGTCAAAATTTTAGGAATTGTGAATAGTAAATTATTTCTAATGTTTCCTCTTAGGGATAATTATATTCCTAGAGTTCAAGACCAGCTTTACCTTTGAAAACTGAATAATGTGAAGAAGTGAGTACAGAACGTTATAACTCAACATTCTGTCACTTAGAGGCATGGCCCAAGCCAATGACATGCATTTAAAAACTTTTAGTGTAACAGGTATTTTTCATTCATTATTTACTACATCCTTGACATCTGAACATTGAAATCTAAAAGAACAAAGTCGATTGTACGGAAACCACCCAGACACCAATGCCTCCCCACTTTGGGAAACTTTCATATCCATCCTAACACGAGATTTCAGTGACTAAGCAGATCTCTCCCTGAACCTTAAGTAAAAAGATTCTCTCCCCTCACTTAATTCTTGCCAATAAGACTCATGCACAGAGAATCAACGTTGTCTATAACAAAGAATAGACAACATTGTAATTTGACAAGTGATAAGACATATCTTTCTAATGAAAAGAGCATGCATCCCACGGAATTTTCAAAAACTTCTTCCTGACTTTATACTAAGTGAAGCATTTTTGAAAGGCATTTCCTTTGGAGAGTCAGAAAATAAGCGCCTCAAATACCTTAAAGTTAGAGACCAAACTGCCAACATCTAAATAAACAACTGGAGAGATTACATGTGGCATTAAAAACAAGAACAATCTGAGGTTTTGTCTTGTTTTGTTTTGTTTTCCTCAAATGAAAGTTACAAAATCAAATCCACTTAATTAAACCAAACTCCGGAATCTCTTTCTGCACCAAAGTTAACAATAGCATGCAAAACATTAGGCAGAAAAAACTTTCTACTAGACTGATCAACTGCACGTATTTATGACAGCTCTAAAAGAAAGGAAATCAGCTCTTTCAATGAGAGGAACAGTGGTGAAAGCTTTTCCCCAAACAGAAAAGCGTAGTAGTCAAGTCGAGGTCACACACACCTCACTCTAAAGCTGAACACTCAAACCACCACTTCTCGCAACCTCACTTCTTTAATAATAGCTCAATCAGCGAGGCTGCTTTGCCACCGATAGCATACCATTATGATGAGCGTTCTGGGTCTACTCATTTCATCGTCACTTTCCAGAGGCAAAATTTCATGGGATGGTTCCTCCTGGCGTCGTCTACAAATGTGTGGACAGCTCCTCTGGACCACAGAACGAAAAGCTTGAAGCAGAACAATGCTGGCAGTGCAGCCCATCCCTGCATCCTGGAGCCTACGGAATAACTTCTATGTTGATGCTATGTTTCAAAAACAGTGGCTCCTTGTCCCTGGAAACAGCCTACATTGCAGCTGCGGCCAGCTCGCTCTCCAATCACTTCCTTGAGCTCTGATCATCTGATCACGGCCAAATAGCTTGGATGCAGAGATGGGAAAGATCTGATCCACTGAAAATGAACACACGGAGGAATATTAAAGCCTTTTGCCAGGACAGTGCTTCTCAATTCATCTCAAGAGCGTGTTTCCTGTTTGCTGCACTCAGCCTCCTCGATTCCAGTCGTGGAGATCAGAATAAAGAGACCGTTTCCACTCAGACACTCAGAGAAATCACTCCTATCCAACAGAAACTCTGACTTCACACTGACATTTCTCTTTTTTTTCCCCCCAAGGCAAATATGCATGATGATAAGACTACGGCAAACGCTTATCTTTAAAATGTATCAACGCTTCCCGAAGGAAATTTTGCTAGACATCTCACTAAGTGATTGGGGTTTTACTTTGCGTAGCTCATAAATTCGAGAAATGGAATGGACTTAGCCACAACTTGGAGTCTCGTGAATCTAAATGATTTATTCAAAGTATGCAGGCATTAACCAAACCCATGTGAGTGACACCAGTGTTCCCTGCGATCTCCCTTCAATGGTGCGGTTGTTCTGTTCCCACGCATGCAGTTTTGCAGCCTAATACATTTTTATATTTACATAGGCGGCTTGCAAGGCTGAAAATATCTCCCTTGCTGAGGTCACTCAGTGAGCTCCGCCAAGCTGACCTCTTAGGAAAAAGACACACACACACAAGAAACAGCTGGAATGCATTTTCACATCCTATCAATAAGAATCCCAGGCTTCGGGAAGGACTTTGAGGTCTTCTGTATTTAAGAGTCTAGTATGGGAAGGAAAGATTCTAGTATCCCCCGACTCCTGTAAGACTAGTCACTTAGAAGAGATGCTTAGAAATCACGTGTCCTGCTTGGAAGGGCCTCAAGACCTAATGGCATGCTGTAAGGGAATAGGACAGCAGGGGATACTCGCGCTAAAAATATCTCACGGAAAATGGAGTTTGCTTTCAAATGAGGCAAGTATGAAATCCCCCCAGGACTTTGAAAGGTCGGATCTTCCTATCAAGTGAATCCTTCCAATGTAACCCTGGAAGATGCAAAGCAAAATGTTTCCGTTTGTTTCTCTGCTGTGCGTGCGTGCGTGCGTGTGTGTGTGTGTGTGTGTGTGTGTGTGTGTGTGTGTCACAGGAATTGTGGAGAGGGATTTATTTTTTCCTACAAGGTGCGGCTGCAGCAACCTCTGGCCAAGAGTCTTTCACAGAAGCATCTAGCATCACGCTCCGTGAGGCATTAATTGCTCAAGCATCAGTCACAACACAGACTCCTTTTAATTGGTCATTAGCCAGAGAAGTAAACTTAGCTTTTTTTTTCCTTTAAAGAGGAACGGGCTGCCAGGAGTTTTTCATCTCTCTGTGTTTTGAGCAAACATATTTTTAATGCTGCTGGAAAAAGAAGAAAAAATGCTAATGGGGTTGGCAAGTTCTTTCAACTCCCTCTCGACCTTTGTCAGAGTGCCCGCGGGCTAATCTAAACCATTTTCACTCCAAACAACTGGGGCATTTACTGAAGAGAGGTTACAATTTAGCTCTGCCTGGCTAGCGTGTATTGAAAAATCTATATAAATGATGTGCACGGAAGGTGAAGCCCAGCGGGGCCTCCCATGCAGATGAATGTGTCTTTTCCGAGGAGACAAGTGCTCCTCCCTGCTGTCAGTGCCTACCCATCCATCCGACCTCACTCTCTAGATCCAGATAACACCCCACCATCCTTCCTTTGGAGTAGCTGGTCTGCTGTGCAGGACTAAGCCAATGGAAATGCAATAAGCTGCTGGTTGAACGGGTGTACTCACACTCCACCGGCTCTGGCAACCGGGAGCCAAAGACTCCTGGGACTGACAGGAGAAACTTGGCAAGAAAGAGAATGTTCACATCCCAAACTCCTGTCTGTCTAGTCACCTTGCTTTCTCTAACCTCTGGGTAGCTTTTGGAGTCCAATGTTTTGGTAGATGTCAAAGTCTTTGGGGGAACAAATGAGATGCTTTCCAGCTATTGGAGCTCTGTTTTCATTGATCTCTCCTTGCCTCTGAGGAATTTATCTTCATTATTGATGGATTGCCTTGAGACTCTAAATAATCTCTCTCTCATTTTCTCTTTCAACTTCCATCCTCAAGGAAAGGGAACCTCCAAGAATTAGTTTCTTGAGAACTTAATATACACTATAAATATCAAATGGTCCTGAGATTATAAGAATTTTAAAAAAGGAATGACAGATACCCAGTTCAAACATTTTCCTTTATTTGTTGTCTTCCCAAATGATTTTCAGGGAGCCCAAGGATCCGTCCCAGCAATTCTTGGCCAATAGAATTTGAACCATGTGCTGCTGGAGATTATCAGAATCATCCCGACCACTTGGGGGACTTCAAGGCTCCCCCTACTGGTGTTTAGGAAGTCATGTGGTGCTGGGGATTGATGCTAACCTATGTACTATTTCCCCAATTCCAATATTTTCTTGTAAAAATTTTCAAACATGAAGCCATATTGAAAAAAGGATTCAGAGTCTAAGTACTGAACTTCATAAACAAATAACACTGGGATGGGAGGGGTAATAGAAATCAACTCCCAAATACAAGTTCCTTCCCCTTTGTAATTATTATATATTTGATAGAGCCATTGTTTTAAATGACTTATGAACACTTTTTTTGGGGGGGGGTTTGGTCATACCTGGCAATGCACAGGGGTTACTCCTGGCTTTGCACTCGGGAAGTACTACTGGCGGTGCTCAGGAGACCATATGGGATGCTGGGAATCAAACCCGGGTCAGCCACTTGCAAGGCAAACACCCTACGTATTGTACTAGCACTACATCCCCTAAACACTGTGCTTTTTTTTGAAATAAATAGATTTTATTTGGAGGGTTTCTGAGGGTTAGAGAGAGAGAGAGTGTGTGTGTGTGTGAGAGAGAGAGAGAGAAAGAGAGAAAAGAAAGAGAGAGAGAGAAAGAGAGAGAGAGAGATTAATACACTCAAGAGAGAACCCAGAACCCAGGTTTCTCGAGGAGCAGAGAGAGCTCCTACACACGTCCCAGCATTAGACATGAAAACACGAAAGTACACACCTCAAGAGGCAACACATGTGCTCGGGCACCACATGTGCTTGGCCACGTCAGTCACGTGGGTACAAGCAGCACTTTGGCTCAGGCAACATATGCGCCCTCTAAACACTTCTTAAATGTCATGTTTTCGTTTGAATTATTGCTTGATATGCCAGACACAGTAACAACAAAGTCTCCAATGGAGACGTTACTGGGCCCGCTCGAGCAAATCGACGATCAACGGGAGGGCCTTTACCTTACCTTTTACCTTATTGCTATGAGCCACTGATTTGTCCTTCATGCATTGTGCATGACCTTCCAGATTATTTTTGGATACTCTTCTTCATATCTTTCCACTAATTAGCTTTATGCAACAATTCATTATGCTGTTTCTAATATGTGAAATACTAGAAACAGAATGCTTTTTTTGTTTTTTTTTTTTTTTTGCTTTCTGGATCACACCCAGCATGCACAGGAGTTACTCCTGGCTCTGCACTCAGGAATCACTCCTGGCAGTGCTCAGGGGATCATATGGGATGCTGGGAATCGAACCTGGTTAGGCTGTGTGCAAGGCAAACGCCCTACCCACTGTGCTATCTCTCCAGCCCCTAGAATGCTTTTCTTTTGATGGGCTACTCTATAGCAGTATTAAGGTGGATGTGGAGCCACTGATAGAGATTCTTATTCTCTGCCAACCCGACTAATGGCACAAAGCTAGAGGATACAGTATTCTTCAGATTCTACAATGCCAAGAATTACCTGGGCCACTTGGGCGTTACTCAGAGGTCTCCAAGGCTGCATTAGATGTAGTGTTGGATTACTAAATTAGGATTAGCCACATGTAAGACATGCAACTTAAACCCTATACTATCACTCCAGCTCCCAGAAGCAAGATTTTTAACTTATAGTCACAGATAAGGAAATTCTATCATTCTTATTTATGACTCAATTTTCCAAAGGAGTGCTGAGAGCAAGATTCCATTCCAGGTTATTAATAGTGAATGCATGTGTAAATATGATATTATGCCATATTTCTGTTCATTTATTTAGCAGTTATAAAACAACAAATTTGTGCATAGGAAAATGCTTCCTTGTTTCAAGGCAGAGGTAGCTATGTGATATAGCTATGAAGTAGAGTTAGAATACATAAAACATGGAAAAAAGGGCAGAGAGAGAATACCGATAATAGAAAGTTAAATGTAGAAGGAAAATTTTAAAAAATTGGATAATACATAGGAATTGAATAGAAAAAAACAATGAAGGGATGATGGAATGAAAACAAAAACAACTAAAATATCCCCAAGTGCAAGGAGGATTCTAACTCCTTGGAAATACTCATCCAGCTGGATGCTACAGGTCTCTTAATAACTCGGAACAAAAGAAACCATTTTTAGAATTATTTTCAAAATATTTAGGAATAATAATCATTTGATTGTAGTTGTTGGTATTTCCACCAATGGAATCATATGTCGAAATCCTTTTAGAAAGAGAAAGGGAAATCCAGACTTAATTTAAGCAAACAATACTTACTGAAAGAGTTAGCATCCCTGCTCTGTTAAATTGTGCAAGAACTTGATGTCTCTGTGAATCTGGACATGGGACTGTGTTTAGATAGGATGGAGTTATGGAAATGATTGTACTTCCACTCACAATCCTTTGGCCTTGGAGTCTTTTAGTGAAAAGTAAAGACATGCTCAGTCCCAGTGGGCCTGCATCAAATCAAGAGCTTCTTTACAATCAAGCTCTTCTAGTAGTCATGTTTTATAAAACAAGGATGAAGTTTAGAAAAATTTACTTTCATTTTAATGAAACATAACAAGAATCACCTTTATTCCTCCTTGACTACATCTGCTATCAT